TTGGAAAGCTATCTCTGCGTAATGTAACATTAATTAGCATGGGAAAAACGAGCGTTCTCCCTCGGCAATGTAAAGGACATCCCGCCAGAGATCGGCCGAGAAACCGAGTGGACACGTGTGCCACTGTGGCTGCCACCATTGCGCATTCACCACCAAAGTCGACACGGACCTGGTCATCACCTGGTCCATCACCTTTCTGGTCTGCTGTTTTTTATGCACCCACACACTCGCCACTAAGGCCTCCTCAATGGTGTAGCTACTGGTGTCTGCCATGGTTAAAAGCCAAAACTGAATTCCGCTGAGCTGTCGCAAAAGTCGCCTAGCCGGTCGCGCATGAGCCATTTCGCGCCAGGCCCATGCACCGCTGTGCTGACGGGGCATGTGAGATGCACACATGGATATTTTTAGATCTCTAGTCACGAAATATATGAAAATATATGAAAAGGTAGATAGGGGTACGGTGACTTTTGGGCCACCCTGTATAATATTGCCAAAATCAGAGAAAAAGACTCGGTGGAGAACATACGCCGTAGAAGACGACCCCACAAGATCACCGCCGCCAAAAAGGAACTCGATCGGTGGACTCGACGAAACCATAAGAGAATGGCGAAAGAACTGACACAAAAGTTTCTTCAGAACGGAGGTCGGCACGTGTCCCGATGGACGGTACAACGCTAGTTCAAAGGGATGGGCTAAAAGAGTACTTTTCCCTTTGTGATGCAGATGCTGAAATAGAACCACAAAGAGGCGCGCGTTCAGTGGGCAATTCGACAAAAGAAAGTCGATCGGAGCCGAACGGGATTGACCAACGAGACCTCCTACCGATTATTCAGAAATGCGATTCGTCGACGGTCAAAAAATCCAAGAGGCGAGGACAAGCGAATCTCGAAGAACAGACAGAAGATGATGGTGATGGGATGGCTTCATTGTCACGGGTCTGATCGGCTGTCATTCGTTAAAGAGAATTATGAAGCAATGTGAAAACCAATTTTCAAAAGTTTTTACCTTTCTTCAACCTCAACCCATCCTCGACCTCACCCTCGACCCCCCCCCCCCCCCGCCCCCAACCACCACCTCTCGTTCCGAGAAGAAGTACCTTTAAAAAGCGCGGTATACAAGCTGGCCACCATCTTGTTAATTTAGGGAGATCAGGATGAGATATCTCCGTATTCCACAAAATCGATCGGCCGCTGCACACCACCTCTTCAATCCCCATGAATTCAGCACAATGTTTCCTACACTAAAAAGAGAGGATCTAGGCAATGATACTATGGCCAAAGAAGTAATGAATCTGGCATAATTAAGGCATGATATTCGGCAACACTGGAGAGCGGGACCGGAGCAATCGCGTTAAGCTTCAATTAACGGCTTCTAATTTCCCTTTCTTAATGGCAAAATGGTACACTGGGCGCAAAAAAAGGAATTTTCGTCCCCTCAACGTCAATTTATTTCATTTGGTAGTTCACTTTCTCCGAAAACTTCCCAGGAGTGACTACGGAAGGGAGAAAAAATTTACGGTACGAAATTCACATTACCGAGAGGCAAGATTCAGTGACCTCCACAGCCCTGGCGAGATGAAGCATCACATTTTCTGGAGCGATTCTGTGTTGGAAGAGGAAGAAGTATGCCAAATGCAGTCCCTCTTGATTCTATCAGTGAGGAATACAAAACGGTTAAATTTTGTCGCCGGAAGGGTTTGAAGAAAGGTTGGGAGGGGCGGTCAAAAAGTATTTTTAATTTTTTACTCACACGCATAAGTGTGATGGAACGCAGGTTTCACTTTTACAAATCCCCCGCAATGTTCGTGCACCTTTCCAACGATTTGGGAGCCTTTGGGGGTCATCTGCGATCCAATGTTTAGGTGTGTTCCGCATCAACACCGGACAGCTTTCTGTAGAGCCTCCGTGGCGGCAAAGTGCCGTACCCGCAAAGACTCACTAATGCAGCCAAATAACCAGCAAGCGCTGGGGACAAAATCAAGGAAGTGTGGGGGATGTTAGATTGTCTGGAACCACAGCCTGGCAATTGCCTCCGTGGTCCGTCTGCTCGTGTGTGAGCGAGTGTTATCATGCTGGAGTAGCACCTTTGTCGCTCGTTTGCCATGGCGCTTCTGAATCACCCTGCCAAAGCGCGCCAATAAACCTGTCAAGGTGGCCACATATGCGTCCCTGTTGATCGTCTGAAATTTCGGAAACCGATCGATGAGTATGATTTTGCGATAGTCCCAAAACACGGTAGGCACTTGCTTCCCAGCGGTTGGAGCTGTCTTGAGGAAACGATCGACTGACCGTCGAACAGTCCCTACGTCAATTCAATGGAGAACCCTGCTGTCAATCCGCAAAAAGCGTGTCGAGAAGTGCAAAACATGAAATCTCGGCGAATTGGACATATTTCTGCACGAAGAATGAGACAGAATTGACTTGGTCACTCTAAATCATTTTGTCGAAACGATGAAAGCGTGATGGTTGGCTTTGATCGAATCGAAGGGAGAAACGATCAACTAATAATTGTGATACATTTGTACCTTGTCCCATACCTTATCTGTGAATGAAATTGTTTTTGATCCTCAAACCATCCACCCTGAGAAAAAATTGAAATGCTGGAGGTAAACACTTTTGCACCTTAGTGTATGTTCCACATGTTTCCTATATTGTACGTATTTGACAACTAATGGAGAGTAAAGTAGGAGTTTTGCTTCCAGAGGCTGCCCATATCAGCACAATATGGAATCCTTCCATTCGTGAGGTTGGGAATGAGTGAGCTTCAGAAATATGGCCCATGGGTTGCACCTCACAGACGCTTCTCGGTCAAATTCAAATTCAGTGCTTTGCACTATTTAGTCCACTAAATCTACACCAACTCTAAATCTGTGCATCTACCGAATATGCCATCAAAGCTTGATTTTGAACATCTGGTTTCGAAGAGCTTGCGACATTCAATAAGGGAAGAGCGTTATTTCTGACGGAACCAGGAATAGGGAACCTTCTGCATGGAATACAACAAAGTATGAATAGCCAGGGGAAATAGGAAGAAGAGAATGTGAATATGGTGACGTGGCCCCTCACGCCGGCCGTGGCACCCCTATCGTGCTATTCACTGCCTCGTGCGACTCCAACCCCAATATGGCGGAGGCACTTTTATCTCTCGCGAAGGCCTCTCCAGAGATATCTATTTACATAGCCGACCCGTGGAAGACTTCCACGCATTTCGAGTTGAACTAGGCCAGGAGTGTCGAACTGCCAGGCCTCTAGTAAATTTTGTCCGGCGTGATAAGTCCTCTTCAACAGTTGGTTTTGTAAAGGCGTATACTTTTTCAAACTTTCGCCGCTCACTCCCGCTCCCGAAGACGGATACGGCAGTCGCCAAAGCTAGAAAGAAACTGCTATTCCGATTGCGAGACGGAGACCACAACTTACGGAAGACATCGACGAACTTCGGGCCGACCTAGGCTAGGCGTGTAACATTTAGAGAATTCACGAGTTCATTCAGCGACCCTTGCAACGCTCTACACAGCAACCGCTCGAATATTATGCGTCTTGACAAGCCCCCCCTCCACCTCTTCCCCAAGGGGGTATTCACGCCTTTAAAGAGTGGCATTCGTATCCAGGATCGATTGCATCCCTGTGCGTATCGTCCCTAAGATCCATCTCCAGCCCTTTTTATGTAAGCCTTTGAGTGAAAAATACGGATAGAGAAAGGGAATGGTTACGACGACGCCGTCTTTCCTATCCAGGAGTAAGCGCTCCTGATTCATACAGGTGGAATCCCACTTTGTTCTCCCTCCTGAGTCACTCATTGTAAGTCCCGATCAGTAAGAGGACGGGGTTGCGATTGATGAATGGCTCGGGATCCCGACAAATATATGGACGAGGAGGTCATCCTTCCTCCAGAGATAATAGGAGACTCCAAGTATAATGCGTGGGGACGTCTTACACTATTCTCGAGAAAGAAGAGTAATAGCCCTCTGAGTTATTACTTTCTTGAGAATAGATCCGACAATTGCAACGGCGCGAAAAAAGAGAGGGAGTCATACACCCCAAGGCAGGCAGAAGACTCCAGGGAGAGCACACGTGATCCCGTTCGTGCGCATGCAACGGACCATCGATTACCAGCACCACCAAGGACCACAGTAAATTTATTATATTGATTTTTGTGATACGAGAATGTAAGCATTGGTTTCTGTAACACAATTCGAAGTTATTATTGAAACGTTGAAAAGCTGATCTATTTCTTCATACATTGCAGACTCAGGTTGGTGTGAACAAAGGGAATTTTATAATGAAATATGATTAACATATTTGGAAATTGATATTTATGTATGTACCTGCTATTCATTTGGAATGAAATCCATCTACAAATGGCGCAAAATATGAAATTGGATGGATAACGAGTTCGACGTGATCTTCTTGACCAATTCCTGTTCATTGACCAGGAGGTCAATGATTGATGATAGTATCGCCTAAGGGCAACAAATTCGGATGAAAGTTTTAGAAACAGGTGAGAACATGCTCGTAGTCAACAACTCGTAGTGAACGTGTCTTGAAAATAGCTTTATGGGGAACTGTGATATTACGGTTAAAAGACATTGATCTTTTTCCCCCATATCCTGCATATCCAATGCTTCCTCACGAGGGAGATCTCCATAGGTGGGCTGGTATTTTCCTGGCCTGATCCGTCCAAAGTAGCTTTTGATTTGAGAACCAATACCATGATTTAACGCATTCTGCCAACTTTTTGTAATTGAAGAACTCTACAAGTTCTTAAATTCGCTGCGTAGTACCTCATCCGTATTGATAGTACTGTATTTAGATAATGAAAATGTTCAATGTGAATTAATTTCCACTTGCCATGCAGAAATCATAAAGGATCAATCTGATTTCCATCAGTAGCACCTTCAGGTCAAGTTGTTGTAAGAAAAGAATACGAAAGATTGGGGAGGTTGGTGTTGCTTTTTATCGAAGACTGAAAGCACGAACACCAAGTGATTTTTAGGAATTGCTTTAAAACAGCTGCGTGCCAGGTAATATGAGGATCTCCAAAGGTGTTTCATGCAATTTTAACACTTGAAACTTCAAAGCCAGGAATGACAGCCACTCTTCGATGAGAAGGGTTAGACGAAATCCATCACGACCACTCTGATCTCTTCTTTTCCGCCTCACCATCCCGCTTCCTCTCGTGCCGCTTCTGCCTGGCTCTGAATCTTAGATAGGGAAAATAATCATCCTCAATATTAGAATCTGACTGCACAACAAAATTCTTCGTTTTACTCAACAATGTAACCTACATGGAATCTATCCTCCTGATCACTTTCAACTTTTTCATAGCCTTACCAACCCTTCCATATTCCTCATCGTGCCTGTCTTCATCAACCGTATCGCACTCAGAGGGAGATGAATCTTCATCTTCACTACCATGATTCGGGTCGAAAAGGGAGATATCAAAGCCATCTTCCTCGAACTCCTTCATGTATTCTTGAAAAGGATCAAAATCATGTCTGAGTTTTTGTGACAATTCTGCCATGGCTCGGGTATCCTCCAGGAATTTGATTCTCTGGACATGGCCAGACCGTCCTTCTCTTTTTTCAGTCTCGATCAAAAGGTTCAGATAATCTGTTATCCCTAAGGGATCGGGCTTCAATGCTATCTCGTCAAGTTTCTGCAAGCACTCATGCGCTCTCTTGCTCAGTTCCAGAATCTCGACCCGCTCACGATTGAACTCCTTGATGAGTGCCTTCATAATTCCTTCTGCTGTCAATATTTTTCCCTCCGCTTTCTGGTACTTCTTCTTCAGGTCTTCAGCAGTCCTCGTCTCTTCTTCCTCGTGCATTTCAAAACGATATGTGTTGTTGAAATGTTGATCCGGGGGACATTTGTTCGGGCAGACGAGACAATGCGTTATTGCACCTGTCTCCATGTCCACGCCCATTGCAGAACACATGTCCTTCACATGGTCTTGGGATATCAAGCATGGGTAGTGGCAGGAAAAGTTACATCTCAGGCAGTTCGTGACGTATTCGCCGGGGTCCAGGTTTACTTTTTCATGCTTCTGAACTTTCACTTTTATTTTGAAGTTTTTGTTTGCTTTCAACGCAGCTTTGTGTTTTTTCAATGCTTCATGTTCCTGCCTCAGCTGTTCCAGTCTTCCCAAACCTAAATGCAGATGAATGTGATATTACTCACGGAGGAAGTGGACTGCTCATCTTGAATCCAAATGTTTAGTACAGTAGTATGCAAAAATATATTTTAGCTTTTCCATGCAAAGCGCTCAAACCTAAGCTACACGCGTACCAGTTTGTGACCACATTTGAGCTTAGTGAGCTTAATTTTGTGATTTAGCAAACGTAGATTCGGCCTAGGGAACTTGTAGTTGAAGTCATTAGGGCCTCTCAGCTGCATGGCCCCTTCGAATTCAAGTAGGGCTGCTCAATATTAGCACCCAAGATAATACCCTCGTACTTTGGATAAGTTGATGAAGCATGTATTGCAATGTGTAACCCCAGGCTCCTTGGTGAGCAATGGAAGAAATCATTTCGGCCGATGGAGATTACGAGGAATAGTTAAAACAAATTAGAAGGAAACAATTCAATTTTGAATGCTAAGCCCTTGTCATGCATACCACTTGTTCTCTGATGAAAGGAACATCGTGGGACACTGAGGGCATTCTATCTTCATGGTTTTCTTAATTGAAATAATTGGAGCTTACTTGCAAACAAAATTCCTGTGAACTCTCATTCATTGAATCATGTTTCTGACTTATGTCCTACATCTCTTCAGAAAAAAAAAACATTATTTTCCCATCACAAGTGACCAGAAGCATATAATTTGACTCTGATAACAGACGTAATAACTATCTTCCTAATTTAAATGAAAACATATTGCCGTCCGGAACGTTATGCATAAGAAAGTATCTCTTCAGGTTCATAAATGAGTAACATTGAAGTTGTGCTTCTGTGTCTTTATCTCCGAGCGACAGGATATATTTTGAGATGACCACTAATTCACATTAAAACGACGAATTACCTTAGCGGGGCGCTGTAAAAGAAATTAATGAATCGTTTTTCTATATGTAATTGAATTATAATCGAAGGTGTGAAGTAAAATGAACTCTCTCCCACCTGCTATGATTTGTGGCTGAATGCCTTGGAGTGCTGTTTGTAATCGTCTCCTCTCTTCTAATACTTTTTTTGTCAATGTCAAGCTCACAGGTTTTGAAATCTGAAACCTCTTGAAAAACCTTTTGAAGCTATTCATGCCCATGTCCCAGCAAATTTTATCGAATTCGTCTATGTCCTCAACTGGCTCATTGTAAAGAGCGGAATTATTAAAGGTGAAGTATGTTTGATGGGGAATAGCTGCATGCTTGAGGGCTTCCAGAACTGGCGGCCGTTTGCTGTCTGCGAAAGTGGTCAACACATAAATATTTTCTTCGACGTCTTTTCCAAACACTGCCAAAATGGAGTCGAATATGTACTTTTGCGTAGGTGTTAGCCTAGCCAGAGCACCCTGGACAACGAAACAGATTCCATCGAGTTGATCCACACCAATGTTCCCTCCACAGGAGAAGAATTCTCGAATCTGATTCCTCAATACTTCATCTGCCGTGATACCTTCAGTATCACCAAACCCAGGAGTATCGATGACTGTCAAGGTATAGGGAAGAGCGAATCCATTTTGCTTGTGCAATACGTATGCGGTGATCCACTTTGTCTGACTGTGGGCTTGAGACTCTCCATTGTCCACGATCAACTTGAAACGGAATTTATCTTCCCACTTCACTCCATATACATAATTTCCAATCCCGTTGATGAGAGTACTCTTTCCTAACAGAAAGAAATTACATTATGAATTTACATTGCATCATGAATAATAAATATTCGATACAATTATATGATAGGCTTATTATAATGATATGGAATGTAGGGCTTAAGGGTCATTCAATCCCTGACAGTCTTGGAAAGGCCTTTCATTCATATTATTTTTCTACCACAACATTTCATTGAGTCAAGGAGATTGAAATTCATCACTGGGGGTTGCTGAAGGCTTAACGATTTTTCTTGTCGATCGCCAGGTCGTGAAAAGAAAGCAACATTTGTATATAATATTAAGTTTTTTTGGCATCACTTGGAATATATATAGTTAAAATGTGAATAAATATATATAGTTAACCATGAAAATAACAAATAAATAAAATTGTCATATTTACTGCTCAAAAGAACGATGAAGAGCCTATATCCCACGTTAGCAACGATTCTAAATCTGCCACAAATCCATAGACGTATGGCAAACGGTACAGCGTATTATTTGTGAATTTCTTGTAAACGAACGTAGCCGTCCATTTTCAATATGAAATTGAATCTGTCTATATCCAGCATTACTGTTCTGCTCCCTTGAGAGAGGTCCATCTGTCGCCGAGAGTCTATCAAGTAGTGTAGAAATACACTAATAAATGCCACCTTTCTTCGACTGCTTCTCGGGTATGACTTCTTGACTTCCTTCATAGGATGACAGCAGGATGACAACCATTTCCGATTCATTTTTTTCACATTTGGTTCATAATTTGCTCCGTATCTGTGCGTCTTATCAGAACCCGCATACAATCTCTTTAATACCCGAATGTACAGTAACTCTTTTAAAAGAGTTACTGTACATTCACAACCGAGACGAGACACAAGCGAGACACAACCTCTACAGTTATCAATTCATGTGGAATTGTTGGATGAAATGAGCAAACACATGCGCACAGACATCATGAGTTGGTTCGGTAACAATGTAATGGAAGTAAAAGAACCAGTGTGATGAGATCTTTACCGTCGCAAGAGGGACTGAATGATATAATCACCTTGCGAAGGGGGTAATTTTACCGTTGCCATGGGAAGAAAACCACATTCGTGACAAAAAGCTGGATTTTATCTAAACTCAACGTCTCGTCTGTTATGCGTATGCCAAGCTTTATCTTTCCATTTTTGCGCAATTCACTAGGAAAAAAAAATTATTTGAAAACATCTCCCTCAAAATGTGTGACCTCAGGGCATGTACCTCCTAAGGCGGACTTTCTGAAAAATTATCGCAAAGTAAAATATTATTGATCAAAACTTCCTCATTGCTGGCATTTGTTCATTGTTTTGTAATTAGGTTGCTTTAGAATAGAGTGTTGATTAAAATATTTTAGTCCAATTTAAACTGCTTGTGTTGTTCCTTATTTTTGCATTAAAATAAATTTGACCTGAGGATCCAGACAGCTTACGGAAAAATGGACTGCAAAGGTTAAATAGCGACCACGAATAGCTGGGCGAAAGAGTGGGTCAGACGACCCAGGAGCCTCTAAGTCAAATGTTGCGACACTTGCAATAAATAAGCCCATTGGAAGCCTTATTCTCTCCAATCGTCGCCATTGCAAATGAAAACTTCAATGTAGAGGGGTAGTGCGGAGACGGTGGTTCTGGACCATTTCCACTTTATCAAGGTGTCTGCCAGATGGGTTCTTAAGCAGCTCAACACCAACAATAAGCGGGAACGGTTGTTGATTAACTCTTAATCGCCTGCCCGTTTCAGAGCAGGACAGGAATACCTTCAGCACATTGTCATATGTGATGATACATGGGTGCACCACTGCAAAAGTCAAAGGGCGCTAAGCGGGAATGGAGGCCAGGATCGTCACCACTCAAGAAGCTTCGTTAACTGTAAGTCTACTGGCAGCATCATGGCCTCGGTGTTCTGGGATCACTCCGGAGTTATCCGTTGAATTTCCTCCCCCCAAGGGTTTAACATCAAGAGTGCCTACTACTACAACATTCTACAAGCTGTACAAGCTGCCATTGGCAAAAAAACTGTGCATTCTCTCATGGAGTGCTTCTTCCAGAAGGAATACAACGTTTCACAGCTCATGGCCCAAGAAACAAAACAATACAAAACTGAGCAGCCGAGGCTGGAAGTCTCTCCCCAACCCGACCGCCCCGACTCAATTTCGAGCGATTTCTATTTGTTTGGGCCCATGAAGTCAAAATATATTTGGTTCATGCCTCATAATTTTACACTAGGCCAACCTTGTCAATGCTCGTCTGTCACCACGTCGCCACATTCGTATTTTGACAATAAATGCAAGCATCACAGGTGCTCTGCTCAGAAAGTGAAATTTGCAGTTGTGTACACCATTCCTGAATTGGGAACTACTATTTGATTAAAACTTGCAATTCCTTTAAATTAATCATGGAAGGTGGAACGCCAAAGAGGGACAGATAATTGATATCAAAATTGTAGTTCAGTTGCAATTTGCTTCCGATATCAGTTCAGACTTTTATCCCCGCGCTGCCCTTTTAGTGGATATTTCGTTTTGGAAGTGGTATGATACATTTAGGAAAAGAAGCGAAACATTGAGCAATTCATTCCTAACAATGAATCCGAGACCCATATATTTGACCTTTTTGTTTCGGTCCATCTTGATTACTCAACTTTTTTTCCATCAGCCTGTTCGTTGTTTGTAAAGTCGCTGCTAATGCACGAACCATTGAGAACATGTGCAGTTGTCCGGGCCTTTTCATATAGGCCTATGACGTGCCCAAGACAGCTATTCTTTATTTCAAGGTTGGATGGTTACGAAAAATATGATAGCTCCCGTGGTATAGTGGCTATTGGGATGGCTGATCCATACCTGGGCGAGTATTCTTTATTTTTTATTAGTATCTGTAGGTCAATTCTCTACTGGAATTGCAAACAAGGTCAACTTTACCTGCTCCGCTGGCGCCAACTAACATGAGTACCTTTCCAACTCCGCCATCGGATCTGCGCTTGCCGATCTCGTACTTTGCCAATCTATTTTCATTATCTTCCATGATTTTCTTTCGTGGGAGCTTATATATAAATCCGTCAATGCTCTTGCAAGTGTCTCTCATTTTCTCAGCCAATCTCGACTCTTCCAACATTTTTCTCTCCTTATCGCCCTCGGATTTTCTCGCCTGTTGGCTCTATTAGAAGCAAGAAAATCAGGTTCATGCATATGGAAATGTGAATGAATAGAGTGATCAAGGCAACTTACGGGCTGGATTTGTCGCAATAACAAATCCATGCCTTCTGTCCCTCCCCTGGCCTGCAACAAGGAAACGTTGGACGTAAGGAAGAGCAGTCCAAATGGCAATTTTACTGATATTCATTCAAAGGAAAGCATAACAATGCCCTGGAAAGGAAGGGGGGTCAACTGGCGTCCTGAAAAACGTGTTAGGTTACGAAAGGACACATCAAATGACAAAACATTAACTTTGCGATTTTTTTTCATACCTGGAAGTGAAATCGTTGCTTAAATTTTGTTCAAGCAAGAGGACGAGCAGAATCTGGAATTCCGTAAGCAGACACAATATAAAACTATATTCTCACCATCGCGTGATGAAGAAGAAAACGAGCAGAATGTATTGTTTCTCTTCTATGGATCCTCTGAAGTAGGATACATTCCCGTTCGTTTTAGTATAGGGAGCAGGAATTTTCAATGCTACTACATTATTTTGCATGAATATCACATTTTCCCATTAAATTTAAACTTTTGGATTTAAGAATGGAAGAGCATCCGTAATCCAGTCTTCTTAAGACCCACAAACTCCTTATAACGTGAAACTGACTTATTTGAATGTATTAATGAAAATATTTAGTTCCTAAAATTCTCCACGTCTTCCAAATCACCCTACTTTTTACGGAAAACGTGATAATCACATTTCTCATTTTTATGAGGCTGTCAATTGAGAATGCAAAACCTGGAGAACTTCCATACATGTAATTCCTGCAGTAGATTCCTTAGGACCTCCATATTGTATGGACCTCCTCCTTCCTGGAAAATTTGAATATTTTTTCTCGGTCAAATGCATGAAACAATGAATACGATTCAAAACAAGAGGAATGAACAGAAAAATACTCCAATATTCTCAATTTTTTCAGAAAGGCATACAATTTCATTGCGAAGGGGGGATGCAATGTCACAGAGTAATTACGCATAGGGCATTTCACTAATTTGCTTAGTGACCCTGTCCAATTTGCCAAGTGCAGTGCATTATATTCCTGGGTCGTCATCGAATCAGCCATCTATGAAAGAAGACTGGGAAATGCCAAGCCTTATCCGTGCCATCATATCCAGTTCCATATTGATTCTTGCACTAGGCTCCGCCTATTTGGCGGGCATCTGGGACGGCTGACATCACGTCAGCTTTTCCTACTTGAGCATATTTTAACACTTATCGTTTCATGTTTTCAACTTGAATTCACCAAAGACACACTCAGCTCGGATCTAGCACATGCATACGGATTCCCATGGCGATTACATCAATGCAATCTGACAACAATGAGATCGTGAAATATAAAAAATGCAGATAATACACACAGTATAGGAGTATTATTATTATTACTTTTTGGGAAAATGGTGCCATAAAAATACAGGGACTTGAAGCAGCTTTCACATTCTTCTCCGACAATACGACTATAGAAAATGCGACATTAGCGAATAATCTGCAAGGAAAGTCTTATACTTCACCTGAATGGCATTAATTTCATCTGGATGCTTTCGCTATCCGTCGTGGGCGGCTGAAGATTTTCTATCTTTGTTTTTAATTTTTCACGATTTTCATGGTGTTGACGGGAGAGGAGATAACGAAAGTAATTGAAAAGTGCGTTATAGCCGAGGTTGGTGCGGCCATTGAAAATGGTCGAAATATGGACTATATCACCTCACATGACGTACTTCCCCACCTGCCTAAGAATGTGGCCCCCAAGAGCACTGCTTAGAACTGCTAACCAGTTAAGCTTAATTCGGAGTACAAAGGTGAGGTAGAGAACTGTGAGGGAATTTTTGGCAAAAGAAGGCGTCATTACGTTCATCATTGTTCAGGGTTTCCATTCGTGTATCGTGTGGACGATACTCCATCAGAACGAACTGGGAAGCACTGGATGACTGTCATCATCAAAGTTGCCAGTTAGTAATTACAGGCTCGCTCAAGGACTTGTTGCATTAAAGTTTTTTCTGCGTTCGCTCCCTCGCCTTCGCGCCAACATAGGTTACTGTAAGCTCAAATAATGTGAAATCATGAGTTCCTCTTACGTCTGCCGTCTCATTAATTAGTTGGTAGTACATCATGTAAGGCAACTTCATCAATGCGTTGCTGTCAGACGAGTTCTTTCCAACCGCGCGAGCCACGGACATAACGCATTTTTTTCAATAATTTTCCTACATCCTCCTCCAGCGTTAAATATAGCTCACTATTCCCGTAGTTGGCGTTATCGATTGTGAAGGGTTCCCCAGCCTCGGCTCTCCAATTTGGTGCATCCCCTCATTCCTGTTCCATGGAAAGGGGACTATGATAAATATTGTGTGAACTCCAGAAATATGACAGCTGCTTTCCAAAGTGCTTACCCATAGCCCTTGATCCCTTCCCGGGGTATATTTTGCTGACCATGATGTTGTGCTAAAGGTACTTGATTGGGGATGCGGGTTTCTTGGTTTTGAGCTGCATTGCCTGCTGTGGGAAAATGTGAAAAACGGTTTTGTGCATTTTGAGGGACTTGATTGCGCATGAAAGATTCCCCCAATCCATCTCGATTGCCCAGATCCATCTGGCTTCGTGGTTGTTCCGTATGTTGATATGGATTGTATCCCCAATTAACACCTGAACAACGATCAGAAGATGCTACTGTCTGGAATTCCTGTTGGTACATTTGTTGCATCTGTTGTCGAGATGCTTGCTGTTGTTCCATCGACGATTGATTATGAGCAATGTTCTGTCCAAACGTTCCAGGATATGGCGATGTAAGGTACGTATTCCCCATTTGATGAACTGAGAAGCTTTGTGGAGCATTAAAATGAGAAGGAATAAAATTCTCCTTGGGAATGGAGGTTTCTAGATTTGGATATTGAGTAGTCGTATGATGCTCATGCTGTTGCACGGAGTTGTGATACAAATGAGGTGATACATGCTGATCTACAAAAGAGTGCATGTTTTGAAGGAGTTGCGGTCTTTGTATGAATCTCACTTGCTGCTGGTTGAAGTTATCACTTGAAATAGCATTCGGTGCGCAGTAAATGCTAGGATCTGCAGCCGATGCATGTGCAGTCCCTGACGGATATAGTCTTTGTTGCTGCAGTGGCGTGAAACCTTCTGTGTTCCCAATAGTTCCTTGTGCTTTCGGGGGATCGACAAAATGTTGCTCCTTGAAGCCAACATTCGATCTCGCGTATTGGCACTGAGGTTGGGTAATGGGTTGGGCAATGCTGTTCCGTGGTGGTTCCAATTTACTTTCTATATTCGGTTGTTGAGCTGGAAACGTTGTCCCAGCGGGATAATATTTTAGAGCTTCCTGGTCTTGATTTAGTTGATGCAGCATATTTGTCATTCCAGGGATTTGGGGAATACCCATGGGGTACCCCAGGTTTTCCCCATGTTGGAAAAAACTTCTCTGTTGAGATTCTTGAGGGTTTACTGAATGAGTATACTGGTGTAGGATAGAAGAACCCTCGTTAGAACTGTGGTGTTGCGACTGCAGGTCAGAAATTTGCTGTACATGGAGCCGGTCATTTGAAATGCCAGTCTGTCGGGGCAGAGCCATGCTGCCTTGTTGACTCTGGAAAGGTCCTCCCAAGACTTGAGGAGGCAATGTTTCTTCTCTTAGACCACTATTTGCAGGAGAATGCTGTTTTTGTGGCATGTCAAAAGGTTGTGCCTGCAGTGGTGCTTGCAAGGTGCGTGTCTTAGAGGATGCATCATGCAGAGGATGCATCATGCAGACGATGCAGATGCATCAGAAAACTGATGCATCTGCATCGGCGCCATAGGATATAAGTCCCTGCTTGGGATTTGGTTACCAATGCGTGATGGGTACTGGCTCCATCTAAATTCAACTGGATCATTTGGATGCGAAGGATCCAGGAGATTCCCCCTCGGGATTCCTTCTACAGTGACAGCATCTAGTATTCCTTGTGTGCTTCGCACGCAACCGATATTTTCTTTATAGGGATGGCGTTGCCAAGATGTCGAGGGTGTTTGATTTTGTTGGGGAATTCCTTCCGTAGTTTGGACATTATTTGGATTATCCATGATTCTCCACTCCTGAAAGTTAACCTCTATTCATTGCCCATCATGCCGCTACCTTTCTCCTCCTGTTCCTCCTGTTCCTCTAAGGTTAGAGTGAAGAACACGAACTTAAATGTGCATTGCATTCTTTCAAAAAGTAAAGCAGTGCTTACCAAACCCTTTATTAACTGCTGCAAACAATATATCCAGCCAGAAAAAGAACATCCAATATTTCTTGGAAGTAAGCTGCTAATGAAAAATTTGAATAATTTTGCAGATATCTAAATCTGAAAAAGTTTTCAATGGTAAAATTGAATGGGACAGCATGCGAAACAAATCGTTTGTATCATGTAATTGAACATGGCATTGAGGGATCCTTCTGATGCGATCGCGTTTTCCATGTTACTGATTGATTATGGATTTTTCGCTTTCTAGTGCACCTCTTTTCCTGAAAGGAAAGAGACAACTTATGTTCCCATCCTGTCCGTCCGTGTGTCACACTTTGGTTGTCCGACGATAACAAAATATTAACCTGATCCATGCGAAAACTGGCTAGTTGGATATGAACAAGATATAGGCTGAGTTCGTTTTGTGACAAATTTGGACCAAAATTGGCATTTTTATTACAAATTTGGATTTGAAATTTGGCCACATCCCAGGGGAAGGCATGAGTTACCCGTGAACCCTTTAGGTTCTGGACCTCAATGCGCATGCCCGTACGACCCAGGCTTTGGGTGCGGTGCCGAGTTAGCAACTAGAGCAGTCGATTTCCTATCAACCTTCTTCGCAGATGGATCCAACCATGCACAATCCTCCATCCTCCCATCATCGTTTCATTGTCAACGTTTGTCTATTTTATTACCAAATTTACATGGCAAACGAGGTTTTTTTTAACTGAAAGGAGACCCACTAACGGATTAGGCTTGCCCAACTTCTTCAACAAGTGCTCCTCTTGTAATTTCCTTTGCGTATCCGTTGTCTCAATTTCCTCACAGGACAAAATTCGTCCATGCGATTGTGAATGCTGCTTAATCTTCTCCTGTATCGATATCTTGTGCGCTGCAGACTGCGTCAGGTTTGCAACGCTCTGTTTTCAAATTTTGCACCAATGTAAAAGCATCAAAAGCTACTTAAAATGTCAAAGAAACATGATAGCCTGAAAACCACCATTGGTTCCCTTGCCACAAAGTGGCAGGCAGGAGGCACTTTTGGTTTCATATTTATTTTATTTCATTCCTCTAATAAATGACAATCAACATTTTTCTTGCAAGCTCAGTCTTCATTTTGCAAATTCGGAAAATTTGCAGTTTTCTATTAATAGTAGCGGCGTATTTGTCAATACCTTATGAGATGCTTAAGCGAAGATACTCATCATTATATGATTAGTCTGTATGGTCATAATGAGATGATGTACGAAGTCTTTCGAAAACATTTTTACCTGCGTTAAATTAACTTCTTCCAATATATCCCTGAGAGATCGATCTGGTACCACAACCGTAACATCCGATCTATCATCAAAGTCGTTTAGGAATGGCTTAGGTACTGAAAGAGCATACATAAGATATTCTATCAATGAATTTATTACAGATAGGAAAACATTCTAACACATGGACATTTATGCAAAACCGCTTCGCCTCATTCTACGCTTGTTTGCGATGGCCTTTCAGAGCTGAACCTTTTTCTGCAATTTTCAACATGTTCTTTCTCATAACATATCTTAGAAAAACACCTTATTCATAATCCACCAACACTG